TGGTCTTCTGAGGATTAGAAGATCACTGGTCTTCTATTTGGTTTTCAGGTTACATAATCGACTGAGTGGAATTATTGTAGTTTGCTATATATAATTAAGACACGACGAATTGCACTGCAAACGAGATCTGCATATTTTATTTAAAAATTCACTTCAAGTGAATGAATTTTGTCGAAATTAGTTAAGATTCCTCTGCGTAATATTTAAAGTATTAGAGTACCCTAGTGTTTAAAACTACACTGTTCAGACTTAAAGTTGTTGTAAAGCGTTCCTGATTAGAATTCGACCGAAATATTCACAGTTCGAAGACCTACAACGCTGTATCAATTTTGGGAAAGTTACTATTTTCCTTCTCTAGAAACGAGGCCTAAAACTTAATATCGTGCTAAGTAAAAGTTACACTGTCACTAGTAAGTTATTTTTCCTTCAAACTGCAAATTCAAAATCATGAATTTGATATAAAAAGTTGCAGAATTTTCTAGTCTATCAAACTACACTACCTTTCACATAAAATGATGGTTTCATTGAGACACAGCGAAGAAAACATGAAGCAAAAAGGCGGGTGGCAAATCATCTACTTCACCTCTAATAATCAACGTTCTTATGCAGCTAGTTCAACAGTTTTCCATGCACAATGAAAAGATGCACGCACAATGGGCAGTGGAAAAAATTTTGATGTCGATTTCGTATTATAAGCGGAATATGCTGATAGTAATGAATACTGACATGTTATATAAGACAAAAAAAACCGAAGAATAATTTCATCTCGTCTCTTTTGCTACCTCTATGTTTATAGATATTCAACAGGTTTTAAACTGTTAGACTCGCAGCGATCTGAATACTAACAAAAAGTTATTACTTGTTGACAGTTTATTGTTTCAAATTAATTCCGTATGTGTCACACAACGATATTGAAAACTTCAGTGTATTGAAGCTAAAGAAAGGATAATGATGGAATAAGTTTTTTTTTCGTCAGAGAATGGAAACTAAAACATGTCTTTCTTGATGAACAGATTTACAGTCTACTGCACAATGTGGGTCAAATGAGTAGTACTGGCAGTAGACATGCTGATGTCATTACATACAATCCCATTTCGCTCTAAGAAATGGTATTTTAGAATTGTAGGTCGAATTTTAGATATAATGATTGTCAACGCATGACTACTATCTAAACATTTCTGCAAATCAGAAAGCTATCCGCTCTTATTTGATTTCAAAATTGAAATAGCTCGTATATTAATGTAACGCCTAGTATTGTCACATACTGAGAATAAAACGAACGTGTAGTAATAAAAGATGTCTTTCAAATGATTCTGGCGATGATCAAAGAAGTGATAATGAAAATGAAATACCTCAGAAAAAGCTCGTGAATATAAGAAAACCGTTCATGCAACAATAAGATTTGGGATGATCATTGGCCAAAGTTCAAAGAAGCAGTGAATACACCATGTTGTAAAAATAGCACAACACAAAACAAAATGAGTCTTGGTCTGGTGAGATTCATTTATATTTGACCAGTCGAAGCTGTTTTTATGATTACCACCAAAAGAAATGATCGTGACTATCTGTTTTATACTAGGATACTAACAAAGCCCGAATGATGTTGCTTTTGTTTTGTTAGTTCAAGTTCAAATTCAAATTTATTTTGCATAAGCAACGACATCACAAAGAAAGTAAACGTATAGTAACTTATAACATCTGATAAATAGAAGCCTTAGTAATACCTGTACAAGCAAAAGCACAATAAAGAACAATCTTATTGCTTTATCTTAGTTGTTTAAAACAGACACCATCAGAAAATAAAAATAATACTTTTTCTGCAACTTGAGGAAACCGTCTCCGTTAAAGTCCAATATTCATTCCAGTGGACTAGCAGGCTCAGCTGTATTTTGGTAAACCTGTAAAAACTATACATGTTTAATTTTTCCTTTCTTCTGTAGGTTTGGTACAAAAATGACAAATCCAAAGTAACGGCGGCTATAAACAATGCGTTTCATTGTACAAAACATCAACAGGCTGCGTTTACCCAGGACGATGATTACGACACACTCTAAAAAAAGATGAGACTTCCTTCAAGTGACTTAATACAAAAAGTGTCTTGCATATTACTTTTATGCGTCTGGAAAATAAAATGCGTCTTTTACACGTCTTGGTTACTGCTATAAATGGATGGAGCAAAGGCACATTGAAGACACTAAGTAGACACATGAGCATACAGTCGCTTACTAGACACTTTATCTATCATGGCTGAATGGCAAGGCGTCTGGCACACAACAGGCAAGTTCGAAGATCGAATCCATCCCTGTCTATAGTTATTTTCTATAAAGATTGAATACAAATTCACTCACCATAATGGGAGAAAATGCGTTAATGATTTGACAAAAAATAATTCGTACTTTTGCGATTAACATGTTTACGAGAGCGCAAGCGTGTAGATGTGCTGCTTGATTATAAATGGATAACGATACGACCATTCAAAGGTGCTAAATATGGATGTATAAATAAATAAAAAATCAGTGAAATAAAACTGCTTCTTTCCTTAAAATGACTTTCGACAAATTTCTGACTTTGAGTGTTGCATTTTCTACTAATTTTCTTAAAACCGGAAGTGACTGTGATTCAAATTCTCATTTTACGCTTTTCTTTGAAGGAAGATATTGAAAATTTATATTTCTTTTCAAAGATGATAACTGCATCTCCCTTTCAGAAAATATAGTCTAGAGTAACGTAATGTTTAACAGGAGTTAATATCGATTGTGAAATATGAGTTTTTCCAAGTTGAAAGGTACGTTACTTTTTTTTCCTTTTAAAATGTCCAATTTGATTCTTACTCTCTATTAGTTTAAATACCACTACATGGTGATACGTTCAAGTGCTCGAAATGTTCATTCGAGAGCGCTCCTCTTAGAAAATTACGAGACCATTCTAGACGAACATATCATCAATTCTCCTCGACCAGTTTAATATGCCCTGCGCGTCCCAGAACATGTGCTAATGAATCAAATCTTAGACGTCATTTTCAAAGAATGCATAGAAATTCTACGATCGCACTATTAAAAAATACAGCTGATAAAGATGATGGAGGAACTATAGCTACTGATGATGTGGTCGGGTTGAGTGCATTTGATGGGATTGCTGATCATGAAGACGAAGATCCAAAACAAAATTTCAGAAATAATTTATATCCAGTTATAACTACCCCGGATGATCCTGAAAAGCAATTGTATCTCTCTGTGACGAAATGGATCTTAAATATGAAGAACAGCTCTGCCTTAGAATCTGATATTGACATGTTCGTTAAAGATTCCTTAATGTGATGGCAAATCTATCAGCTTTAAAGGTGAACATCTTTCTCTCCCTAGGACAAGACTGATATTTTTTTGTTGTAGAGAAATTATTTACCAATACTTAGTTCAAACACACATTCTACTTATTCGACACAGAAATTTCTAGAAGAAGCTATTACTGTTATTAAACCAAAAGGGGTTGTCTTAGGAAAAAAGGTAATAGTAAATCACAATGTTTGTGAAATTTTAGAATTTATGAATCGATGCGTCTAAACCTTTTTCATATTTATTTAAATATCTAATATGCCAAAACCATCGAATTCTTACTATCTGATCATCCCGGGACATAAACGTGTTCTTAGACATCCTTTCTCTTTTGTTTGTGATTTAATCTGTTTACATTTTAGCAAATAATGAAATTCAGCAGAAGTAAAGCTCACAATGTGCCGGTATAGAAACGTGGCTATTATGTACCCTTTATTGAAAGCTTGAAACAATTATTATCCATGCCGGAATTAGCTGATATATTGAATAAACAACCAATAATGATACAACCTGCTACTGCTCAAAGTTTGAAACAATTAAAACTGATTATCATGATAGTGAATTTTGTTATAACCATTCGTTCTTCAGCCGCACATCAGCCAATTAAAATAATCTTATATTATGACGCAATAGGGATCAATAATCCCCTTGGAGCATGAAAACGAAGTATGGGAATGTTTTATTATACGCTGGCAAATATTCCTCGATATTTGCGTTCTCAAGATAGATGTATTCACTTAATAGCATGTGCCGATAAATGTGATATTGTAGAATTTGGGTGGATCGATATTAATGTGAAACATAATAATAGTTCCTATTTCACCACAACACCAACAACTTAAAAGGCTCTCTTCTTGTTATTGCTGGCGATTTGTTAGCATTAGCCGGAATGCACGGCTTCAAGTGTGGTTTTAAGCACGCTTTACTTCCATGTTTTTATGCAACACAACAAACGATAAATTTAATACAATTTCTAATATTAATGAATGTAACCATCGTACAATGGATGAATATTTGGATGAATGTGATCAATTAGACAATTGCGTTACTCAGGAAGAATTTAAAAAATTATCCAAAAAATTTGGAATCAATCATAGGTCAGTCTTCACATCTATTAATGGATTTAACATTTTTCAACAAACTGCATTAGCAGCGTGCACATCTATTTAGAAGGTTAGGTCTAGACAAAGCAACAAGCAACTTCTAACTTTAGATATATGTAAACGCCATTTAAAATTATTTTTTATATTAACTTAACTGCTGATAGTATTTTTAAGAGAAATTATTCTTGGACGAAGATATGTACAGCAATTGGTGAATATCATTATCTACCTATTGACGAAGCACCTAATCCGAAACTCAACTGGAATAAAGATAAGCAAATCCCATTATCATGAGCTCAAATGTTGTCAGTAATTAAAAATATATCTTTTATTATTAAAAATGTACTTGGTAAATCTCCAACTATGAATGCCGAGCGGGCATGTGTGTTAAAATTAAGAGCATTAGTATGTGTGTCATTCTCAACGGAAATAGATCGAACAACAGAACGAGAATATCATAATATAATTGAACAATATCTGAAAAATTTTGATGCTCTATGGTGCACAGTAACGTTTACCAAAACGTCATTGTCTTCCATTCGAGAAGAAATATTCATTCTTTAAGACACACACTTATCGAAGTTTCAAAAATCTACCAAAATCACTGAGTATTCGCCACCAAAATTAGATTGCAAAAAAAATGTTAACGCCGGAAAACATGGCATCGGAGAATTATTTATCTGTTGGTCATATATAGGTGAATTAAACATGGTGAATACAGTAGATGTACCACCAAATGATATATTTGACGTAAATTTACCTGTTTATGAAGTACCTCAACGAATAATTGTTTATGGTATAAAATATACACCTAATATGGTAATGATGACAAATAAAAATCATTTTCCTCGATTTCCAACATTTGTAAAAGTTACAAATATCTATCTATCTTACAAATATCTCGTGCAACAGCATAATATCATTTTCCGTGGTCAACAATATTGTGTAATGGATAAAGGTGTTGGATTAGCTTCGTTAGAAATAGCTCCAGCAGCAAATGAAATTTTCTTTAATTTGTATGATATAAGCTAAACCCCCCCCCCAGAATAGAAGGGCATGGCTTTCTCTTGTGTCCCGTCGGATCAAACTTTTTAGGGTGGCCTTCTATTAAGAGTGGCCTTCTAAACCGACCTCCTAGATAGAATTTTCTAAAAGTTTTCG